AGCCCGAAAGTGCAGGATGCAGATGTGTTTTGTCGCACGACAGAATGTGCACTGAAAAAATGCCCAGCGCTCCATGACTGAAAGATTTCTGGAGATACTTTGGTGTTTGGGCCATTAATATTCCTGGCTATGTTCTCTTTCGGAGAGACAGGGTAAATAGAAAAGGTGGTGGTGTCTGTGTCTATGTGAGAAGTGATCACAGAGCGAGTGTGAAAGAGGACCTAGTTGATGGAGAGTGTGATGAGGCTGAAGCATTATGGGTGGAACTGCACATGGGGGTGCGTACTACAAAGGTATTCATTGGAGTTTGTTATAGGTCTCCCAGTGTTAATGAGGAGGTGAAGACTAAGCTCATTGCACAGATCGAAAGGGCTGCATGAGCTGGACCGTGATAATAATGGGGGATTTTAACTACCCGAAAATTGACTGGAGTAATGGTACTGCAGGAACAGTTAAAGGGCAAACATTTGTAAACCTACTACAGGACAATTTTATGGTACAGTTCATAGAGGCCCCAACTAGGAATGATGCTGTGCTGGACCTGGTAATCTCAAACCATGCAGAGCTTATTACGAATGTCCATATAAAAGAACATCTGGGTAGCAGTGACAATAAAATGATTTCATTTATTGTTAGCTGTAAATAACCAGCACATATGGGAAAAATAAAAATGCTCAATTTCAAGAGAGCTAATTTTCCAAAGCTGAGAGCTGCTCTCCAAGACAGACTGGGAGGGAATATTGGCATCAATGTACACAACACAGAAATGAGAGTTCTTCAAAAAGACTGTATGTGAACACACTGCAAAATATATTCCCATATACACTGCAACAAGTTTAAAAGGCTAAAAATCAAACCTATGTGGCTTACGGTCAAAGTTAAAAAAGCTATAGATAATAAGAAAAGAGCTTTTATTAAATATAACAATGAAGGAATGCTATCATCGTTTAAACATTACAAAGAATATAACAGAGTATGCAAAAAGAAAATAAAGGCCACAAAAATTGAAAGTGAACGAGATTGCAAAAGATAGCAGGAGCAACCCCAAAAAATTATTCAAATATATTAATAGTAAAAAGGTTCGGTCCGAGCATGTACAGTGTTGCAAAAAAAGTATTTAGTCAGCCACCAATTGTGCATGTTCTCCCACTTAAAAAGATGAGAGAGGCCTGTAATTGGCTTCATAGGTAGACCTCAACTATGAGAGACAAAATGAGAAAAAAAATCCAATCACATTGGCTGATTTGGAAAGAATTTATTTGCAAATTATGGTGGAAAATAAGTATTTGGTCACCTACAGACAAGCAAGATTTCTGGCTCTCACAGACCTGTACCTTCTTCTTTAAGAGTCTCCTCTGTCCTGCACTCATTACCTGTATCAATGGCACCTGTTTAAACTTGTTATCAGTATAAAAGACACCTGTCCACAACCTCAAACAGTCACACTCCAAACACCACTATGGTGAAGACCAAAGACCTGTCAAAGGACACCAGAAACAAAATTGCAGACCTGCACCAGGCTGGGAAGACTGAATCTGCAATAGGCAAGCAGCTTGGTGTGAACAAATCAACTGTGGGAGCAATAATTAGAAAATGGAAGACCTACAAGACCACTGATAATCTCCCTCTATCTGGGGCTCCACGCAAGATCTAACCCCGTGGGGTCAAAATGATCACAAGAACGGTGAACAAAAATCCCAGGACCACACGGGGGGACCTAGTGAATGACCTGCAGAGAGCTGGGACCAACGTAACAAAGGCTACCATCAGTAACACACTACGCCGCCAGGGACTCAGATCCTGCAGTGCCAGACGTGTCCCCCTGCTTAAGCCAGTACATGTCCGGGCCCATCTGAAGTTTGCTAGAGAGCATTTGGATGATCCAGAAGAGGATTGGGAGAATGTCATATGGTCAGATGAAACCAAAATAGAACTGTTTGGTAGAAACACAACTCCTTGTGTTTGGGGGAGAGAGAATGCTGAGTTGCATCCAAAGAACACCATACCTACTGTGAAGCATGGGGGTGGCAACATCATGCTTTGGGGCTGTTTCTCCGCAAAGGGGACCAGGACGACTGATCCATGTACAGGACAGAATGAATGGGGCCATGTATCGTGAGATTTTGAGTGCAAACCTCCTTCCATCAGCAAGGGCATTGAAGATGAAACGTGGCTGGGTCTTCCAACATAACAATGATCCCAAACATACCGCCCGGGCAACGAAGGAGTGGCTTCGAAAGAAGCATCTCAAGGTCCTGGAGTGGCCTAGCCAGTCTCCAGATCTCAACCCCATAGAAAACCTTTATAGGGAGTTGAAAGTCCATGTTGCCCAGCGACAGTCCCAAAACATCACTGCTCTAGAGGAGATCTGCATGGAGGAATGGGCCAACATACCAGCAACAGTGTGTGCCAACCTTGTGAAGACTTACAAGAAACGTTTGACCTCTGTCATTGCCAACAAAGGATATATAACAAAGTATTGAGATGAACTTTTGATATTGACCAAATACTAATTTTCCACCATAATTTGCAAATAAATTCTTTCCAAATCAGCCAATGTGATTGTCTGGATTTTTTTTCTCATTTTGTCTCTCATAGTTGAGGTCTACCTATGATGCCAATTACAGGCCTCTCTCATCTTTTTAAGTGGGAGAACATGCACAATTGGTGGCTGACTAAATACTTTTTTGCCCCACTATAGGCCCTTTACAAAATAAACTAGAGTGGGTGACTGGGGACAAAGAGAAGGCAAATTTATTTAATACCTTCTTCAGTTCTGTGTATACAAAGGAGCATGGAGGAGCTCTTGTCCATAATAGGCATGGTATTGACACAGCCCCAGATGATCCACATTGGCTCACAATTTATATGATCCAAAAATATTTAGACAGTATAAAGGTCAATAAAGCACCTGGACCAGATGGCATACACCCACGGGTCCTTATAGAATTGAGCTCTGTCATTTCAAAGCCATTGTTTCTAATTTTTAGGGACTCTTTAATGACTGGCATAGTTTTACTTCTATAGTTGGAAAGATACTGGAGAGTTTAATAAAAGACCACATAGATGAGTTCTTGCTGGAAAAAAATATTTTAAGCAACAGACAGCATGGATTCATGAAAGACAGAAGTTGTCAAACAAATCTGATTTCTTTTTATGAGGAGGTGAGCAAAACCTTGGACAGAGGGGTGGCGGTGGACGTGGTATACTTGGATTTTGCAAAAGCATTTGACACAGTTCCCCACACACAGCTAATGTGTAAGGTAAAGTCTACAGGCTTGGAAAAATCTGTACGTAAATGGATGGAAAACTGACTAAAATATCGTATTCAGAGAGTAGTGGTTCATGATTCATACTCTGAATGGTCTAGGGTTGTCAGTGGTGTACCCCAAGGTTCAGTGTTGGGACCCTTACTTTTTAATATATTTATAAATAATATAGGGTCTGAGACTATAAATCCCATTTCAGTCTTTGCAGATGACACCAAGCTGTGCAGTGGAATAACGTCCTTACAGGATGTCTTCAATTTACAAGCCGATTTCAATGCACTGTTTAATTGGGCAACTATGTGGCAAATGAGATTTAATGTTGATAAATGTAAGGTTATGCACTTGGGAGCTAAGAATATGCATGCATCATACATACTAGGGGGAGTACAACTGGGGGAATCAATGGTGGAGAAGGATCTGGGGGTTCTGGAAGATCACATTCTTAATAATGGCATGCAATGCCAAGCTGCAGTTTCTAAAGCGAGCAAAATCCTCTCTTGTATTAAAAGAGGTATAGACTCCAGAGAGAGAGATATCATATTACCCCTGTACAAATCATTAGTAATACCTCATCTGGAATATGCAGTTCAGTTTTGGGCACCAATTCACAAAAAGAACATTGGGGAACTGGAGAAAGTACAGAAAAGGGCAACTAAACTGATATGAGGCATGGAGGAGCTTAGCTATGAGGAAAGATTAGAGGAACTGAATGTATTCTCTCTTGAGAAGAGGAGATTAAGGGGGGATATGATCAACATGTATAAATACATCAGTGGTTCATATAGTGAACTCGGTGTAGAGTTATTCACCCTGAGGTCATCACAGAGGACAAGGGGGCACTCTATACGTTTGGAGGAAAAGAAATTTAATCTCCAGACACGGAAAGATTTCTTCACAGTAAGAGCTGTGAAAATGTGGAATAGACTCCCTCAAGAGTTGGTTCTGGCCAGCTCAGTGGATTGCTTTAAAAAAGGCCTGGATTCTTTCTTGGATACACAGAATATAACTGGATACTAACATTTATAGGTAAAGTTGATCCAGGGAATATCCGATTGCCTCTTGGGGGATCAGGAAGGAATTTTTTTCCCTGCAGGAGCAAATTGTATAATGCTGTGCTGGGTTTTTCGCCTTCCTCTGGATCAACTGTGGGTATAGGATTATAACTTTTTTTATTATTATTTAATGAACTGGATGGACTTTTATCCTTTTTCAGCCAGACTATGTAACTATGTTTGTTGCCCTAGCACACCATGCAAGTGAACGCGTTAGCACACATTTCAGCTCCGTTCGGGTGTGTGAATGGGGCCTAATAAAAAAAAAAAAAAAAAAAAACCCCCTCAGGTGTGAGCACACCTAGCACGCTGTGCCGCATGAGCGCCTCCAGAGCTCCACCGGCTCTTGGCCAGCAGAGGGCGCAAAAGACTCGCATTAGCGGCGGCCGCCATTAAACAAAAGGATCCCCTGTGGGGAGAGTGCTGGGATAGAGGAGCAGAGCTGGGACAGGCCGGGGGTTGAGGGGAGGGGAGAATCGGGTGAAAGATCGGGCTGAGCAGTGTGCTGTGGAAGCGGGGCGCTCCAGGCCCACAGAAAAGGAGAAGAGGTCGTGAAGGCCCGGGCTGAGGGGGGGCGCGCGCTGAGCCTCCTTGTCACAAGCAGCGGGATAGACGGCTGGGGCATCCGGTGTGCAGGCTCCGGGTCATAGCCACACACAGCGGGGGGACACCGGGGGATATGATGTTTCCTCAAAGCAACAGCCGACACTCGGTGAGGACAAGGCCCGGACAGTGTGTGTGGTGTGTTGTGTGTGCTCTTATGACGTGTACAGGGCTGAGGTGTGAGGAGAGCACGCTGCTGACTATGGGGCCCGCACCTTCTTCACAGGGCATGTACACGCCAAACTTTGTGTGCCTTTCCTTTTGGAGGGAGATTAGGAAAGGGTTACAGCCCTTGTCAGTAGCTTTGGCAGGGAGGCGATTTCTCTACACTTCCTGTCACACATCTGCAACAGGAAGTGAGGAAGGAAGGAAGGTGCCGCTCCTTTGTAAACTCTCCCCCATCTCCTCAATTAGAATACCTGTTTGTGGGCTTTTTTGTTTTGTATTTTTTTCTGGCCTAGGTGAAAATGATATGTTTTGCTCCCTCTTGGAATGTACCCATCACATATCACAAGAGGCAGCAGGCGCTCGTCCACACAACTTGTGTTATCAGTTGCCGGGCCTCCTGACCCTGAATGAGGAGGACCAAAATGGCGGCGTAGGACACAGGTGCAGACAGCAGATTGAATTGGATCTGCTGGGCAGGTGATTGTGTATTTGGAAGAGAACTCCATGTAACAGGTAAGGGGGGGGAGCGTCTGAAGTTCCTGTTTGGGTTGTATTTACACCTGTGAATGCACTCTGCACCCATTTTACAGGTACTTATATAGCGCCATCAATTTACATATATGTTGTACATTCACATCAGTCCCTAACCTTAAGGGGTGTACTGTCGGAGGTCCCTAACTTACATTCATACATACACATATTAGGGCCAATTTAGACAGGAGCCAGTTCACCTACCAGCATGTCTTTGGTATGTGGGAGGAAACCGGAGCACCTAGAGGAAACCCACGCAGGCACAGGGAGAACATGCAAACTCCAGGCAGGTAGGCAGAAGTGCTAACCACTTAGCCACTGTGCTGCCATTAGCTGCCAGAGGCATTAAAAGCATTGGAAGGTTGCAGGTTCTCACAGCTAATCACAGGGTGTAATTGCTCATGCAGCGGTCACATGCGAGTGATGGGCCTTTGACATGGGCAGTCTATGTCCATGGTTGACTACTTCATGAGAGATTACATGCAAGCTATGAGGGCTACCTCTTGCAGCTGATCATGGGAACCCCTGTTGCAGCTAATTGGATGCAGGGTGCTTTTGAAGGTGTATGCACTCTAGCTTAAAAAAAATGGTTAATTTCCAGTGTTGTTTTATTGTACTAGCGTTAAGCGCTTTTTTTTTTTTTTTTTTTTTTCCGCTAGAAAACTACTCTCAAAAACACAAAACAGAAGGGTTTTTTTTTTTTTTAAACTCTAAACGCTGAAAAAAAAAAAAACGCCTCTAGATCACCTAATGTGCATGGACACATAGGATAACATTCGTTCACACATGGAGCCTTAAAGCACACATATAACATTCCTACCCATGTTTTATCCTTGAAAGCCTCACTCCTCTAACAACCACACACTTATTTATCTTTTCTAAATACTTTTTTTGTTTTTTCCCAGGAACTTCCAGGGTTCTTGTCTGGGTGAAAATGATGTCCCAGTTGCCCTCAGCCTCATGGCAACCCTACATCACACTTCCCAGTGAGCTTGGACATATTCGAACATAAGTTAAAAGTTGCCTGAGCTAGCCCGTTTGGAAGCTGTCAAAGCCGAGAGACGAGACAGCGGAGGCCCTCCCTATCGCCACACATACATGCGCTTGCAGGGCAGGAAATGCCTTTGCCGCATACGATTGGCTCTCGGTTTTGACAGCTATGGCGGGTTTAGACTTGTCTAATCACACCTGAGCTTATCCCTACTCTGGGTACTGTACTGCACATGGACTGCAGTGCATCATCAGGGGACTCGCTGTCTCTTCCTGGTTCTTGTAGCTGGCCCTCTGATCATGTGATTTTGATTATATTTTTTTCTTATATATTTCAATAGTGCCTTTCTCTCTTAGGACTTGGTGCTTTATCTGCCCTTGGAACAGATGGTGAGGGAGCCATCTGGGGGCACTCAGTAGAATATCATACTAGGGCCAATGTAGACAGTAAACAATTACCCTGCCAACGTGAGTGTGGGAAACTCTATGCAGATGGTGTCTTGATCAGGACTCGACCCATGGACCCCAATACTACAAGTGCAAACATTAAGTAGCTGTGCTTACATAAGTAAAGAGGATGGCAGTATGAGACCTGGCGTGAGACAGCAGATTTCAGCACAGCAACAGTGGATTCGCTAGTTAACCAAAGGGAACGGTAGAGGGGAATAAGAATAAAAGGGGTGCATGTGTACCAAGTTACCCTCTCTCCTTCTGGTGACTATCCTAAAACTCTGCCTTGGTTACAGTGGTCAGTAGGGCAGATAGGTTGGGGAATACATATAATATAAATTTGACAAGGGTTCAGTTTCTTCCATGTTCTGCTCAACACGCAAAAAAAAAAAATAAATAAATAATATAAATATATATATGTATATATATGAAATATGGCTGTATGCACACCTCACAGTCATGTCAAGCCCAAAACTCTTGCTTACTTTGAGTGAAGAGGGATGAGAACTTGTCTGCTATTCGATTAGAAAGATATACCCTCACTTCCTGTCTTTCTGACAACCATTTCGCCAGACAGGAAGTGAGGAAGATGGGGACACACAGAATTCTGGAAAGGGTTCTAACCCTTTCTGTCTCTACCTAAAATGTTTTTGTCTATCTTTGTTGCTGTTGGAGAGTTCTCACTTCCTGTTTTTAAAATGTCAGCAGGACAGAAAGCGTAAGTTGACATACCATTTAAAATTTTAAAATTTGTTTTCCCTAACGTATTTTTTTAAACTCTTGGCATCAAAATAACTTGTGAGCTGAAAATGTCATGCAAATAGTTGTGAAATTACTTCCCCCCCCCCCCCCCCCCAAAAAAAAGGATGTAAATGAGTACAACAGCACGTGTCTACTATAGGATGTTCTTTGGGGGGGGGCTTTAATATTCTTAAGCTTCCTCTGCACAACATAGTTTGTATTGTGGCCAGAGTTGTTGATTGGTCTATTGAATACAATCATATAGGTCTAAGCCTAGGTTCACACTTGTCCATCTGTGTTGTGTTTTTTTTTTTTGTGTGCATATTTTGTTTTCATGCATTATTTTTGGGATCACCGACAAGCAATATCTCCTGTCTGAGGGAGGAACCCTTTTTTGTTATGGCAAACAAGTGTCAAAGCACACTAAAACAGATGTGTATTCATTTTTGATCCAATTCATTTAAAGTCCATTGAGCCAAAATCACAACAATTGTACATACAGCATTTTTTAAAGGCAGACAAGTGAATTGCTAAGGTCTAAACAGACACCATAGAAAAATGTGATTCTTCTAGTTATTTGATGTCATATGACAGGTGAAAAAATTGCACAGATGTGAATGGGGGCTTAAACTGACCATACATTCTACAATCTTATTGTAACAATCTCCTTTAGTTCTACCAACAACTATGTAGTACACGGGTTTTCCTGATTGGATTCTAACTGAATAGATTGTTTAGGTAAGCCTCACGTGATCTAATTTTAGTAAAAGTTTCTTGTGCAATAAGACTGTAACATGAATTGTCAGATTTAGATTTGGGGTTGATTTATAACTAATTACTGTAAGATTTCATAGTGTATAACCCTTTTTTCTGGTTTTGGAGACAGAACAGGAAGTGAGAGCAATCTTTACCTATAAAGGGGAACATCCCTCTTAGACCGTCATCCCTGAAACTGGTGTACTAATTGGGGAGATTTCCCCCTCTATTCCTCTTCTGGAGGTAGCTGTAAAAATTGCATCCCCCCCCCATTCTGTTTTGGTGACCGTAGCCAACAGGACAAACATAGATGAATCTGTCCTGTGGGGACACACACAAAAAAAGCTTAAAAGTGGTTGTAAAGGCTCCATGTTGTTTTTACCTTTTATGTATTCTGTTCATAAAGTTTATAAACCATCTGTGTGCAGCAGCCCTCCCCTATTACTTATCTGAGCCCCCTCTCGATCCAGCCTAGAACACAAGAGCCTTGGCTCTTCTGGGACTCCCCCCCCGTCCTCATTGGCTGAGACCACAGCGGGAGCCATTGGATGCTGTCAGTCACAGCCAGTGAAGTGAGCCAATGAGGAGAGAGGTGGTGGGGCTTGAGATGCAGCTCTGTGTGATTGGACACACTGAGCAGTGGCTCAGGAGCATGCCCACATAGCAAGCTGCTCGCTCGGGCCATTTGGCTGGAAGGAGGGGCCAGGAGCACCAGCGGGGTACCTGAGAAGAGGAGGATCAGAGCTGCTCTGTGCAAAACCATCGCACAGAGCAGGTAAGTATAACATTTGTTTTTTTAAAATTGCCTTTAATATCACTTTAACAATATATACTTGACATTCATTAGTTTCCCCCCTCTGCTTTTTCAGTGTAACACTGCCCTAATATAACATGACTACTTTTCCCAGTGTAGGGTTTTTGTGAAAGTTTGGTGCCAAGTACCTTGCTAAATCTGTTAATGGTTTCAAAACTGTTTGAATTGGCGATCTTGGATTGCAAATAGACTAACAACCTTCACCAATATGCTTAAAGAATGCTAGCTGCATTTGTGCTAGATTAGGACCTGATTGTGGCTGGTTTCTTGTCTGATGAATCCCCCACATTGGGTTAGGTTCTTTCTTGCCCTTGTCACAATAGCGTAGAAAAAAATGGTACAAAGATAAGAGAGGATTTGTGTGCATTGTCTGAATTCTCATCTCTTCTCCCCAGGGCTCCTCTCACCTGCCCCAGCAACTCAAGTTCACAACCTCCGATTCCTGTGATAGGATTAAAAAGATGAGTTCCAGTTGCTTCAGGCACAATATCACAGGTAGGAGTGGGTACAGTCATAACCCTCAGACAACCTTTTTTTTCCCTTTAACACTGTAATGGAACCACTATAAGCTACACTCCTCCCAACAGTTTCTTCTACAACCTGGTGGCTATACATAATGTAGCACCAGTCCACAAAAGGGGTTTGAGCTTTTCTGCATGCAGGTTAAGGTGAAACCTCTTCTCATGCACTGAACATTGTATGTACATGATTGTCACATCACCTTACTTATGGCCAGCTGCCAAACCTGTTTCTGTAATGAACTATTGTTCCCTCTGCCATTAGATTTTACACTATGCTTACTGATTGTTTAGAACATAGAGCAGATTATTTTTGGGTGAGAAAAGTTGCAAATTGTTCCTTTTTTTTTTTTTTTTTTTTTTTTTTTTTTTTTTTTTTTCTCTGATGTTCATTCTGCATGCAAGTGTCCTAATCTGCTAGTAATCAATGATGATTTGTAGGGGAATGCTATAAAGCTGATATTTTAGGGCCTCAAACTCAAAACGTATATATATGATGGATAGTCTTCTAACCTAAATTTGGGGCACTTTCCTGCACTCAGGGAGCCAGGTATAACTACTTCTATATAATAAAACCTCACGCTCAGTAATTGTAAGTATACCACTGCTGCATCTTAAAAATCCTGAATACTGGACTTAAAAAAAACTTAGGAAAAGTGTGCTCTTTAATTGTAAAAAAAAAAAAAAAAAAGTTACAAATCATTATCCATGCAAATCCATACATGTGTTTTAAAGAAGGTTAAATAATCAGTGGGAAAAAAATCTGTATTATAAATCCGTTATAAAATATGCAGATCGAAACCCTTAATTGCTAAAAGTGCAAATCTAACCATAATTAATAAAAATACATACCCTCAAATAAAAAATTAAAAGTTCATATTAAATGCACACATAGTCCATACTGAAATATCCAAGTGCCATTAAAGTGCACAAAGAAATATGAAAGTGCTCCATTGTTAAAGGTGCTTCTCAAATGAGGCCTCTTACCAGACAGGAATGATCTCAAATTATAGAGATCACTTGCCCCTTTTTCTCCAAACGGAGGGCCGACACTCTCGCTATCAGACCTCTGATGTAGCTCTGTGACCATATTGGTAAGATACAGTGGTGGTGTCTTCACAACCAGAATGCAAGCCTTAGCTTCTACTACAATCAAACTCTCCAGCATGGTATGTATTTGGCATGAAAAAGAAGCCTTATAGTGCAGTACTAAAAAATCTCTTTAATGGATGGTAATTGCACTTACATTTGAAAGAAATATACAGGTGGTATACACAACCAAAAGCATGGCAGTGGGATCATCCAGCGCACCTGTGTGTGATGTCAGAGCTCTAGCACCGCCTCAGCCAGTTACAACTGCCCTAACAACTGAATGTCTGTACGCTTGTAAATGCCAATGCTCCTCTGCATTGCTGATTGCCCACACATACAAATTTCCCAAACATATTTCTTATGTAAATGTCCATGTGCCTAATTTTGCTTGGATACTGGAGAGTTCATAATTTCGATGCCATAATTTGGCTTTGTTACAGTCATGCTATTCAGATGGAACTGAGAATTGTGGTCCCACAGAGGGTTGCTGAACATTTATAAGAAGATATGTGACTTTTCAGGAACGCTGAAGTATTCACTTTTTGGTTTAGTTGACTTCAGTCAGTTTGAAAAGTTATGTAAAGCCATAAGCTTACCTTGATATAAACATGGTTTCCATTTATTGTGTTTTTAAAATTTATCTCCAATATGCCCCTCAACTAGCGTAGGGAAGACTTTAACTCTCATGACTGCCAACATTACTCTCTATAGTGCACAGCGACCAGTCATGAACATCCTCATTGTAGTTCCAAGGGTTATGCTGCCATCCTTGCATCATCTCCATTTATTAGTGGGAGTATCCTTTTTATAAAGATCTCCCACAATGACCCTGCCCCTCATCAATTGATTAGCAGCGTAGATACATTGTAAAATACATAACCTTGTTGTGGAAGAAATGGTATGCTGCTGATAATAGCTGTGGGCATCTATATGGGCAGTGAAAAATTAAAAATAAAAGCGGAGAACTCTCTGTCACTGCCCACCAACGTAACAGAAGTTCCAAGAAATCCTGGGACATGAAGTTCAGTTAGCCACAGCAGTTCACTGAACCTTCCTTTTGATGTCCAGCCAAAGCAAGTATATCAGCCACTTTTTACTATGAAATCATAGGTAATAAAATAATTTTTCTGCACTCGGTGGTTTTAGTATTGGACAGGTAAAAAAATGCATCTACCCTGGCGGATGGACAATTTTATGAAATCTAACCTAGATTCTGGATTTCACATTTAGGCCAAAGCCACATAAGCAGTTTTCATGCAACTAAAAGTTGCTTATGACTGATTACACTTTATTTATTAAAGGTAATGTTTTGAGGTTATCCTGAAGTGGTACTGAATGATCATACAACACCATGACTAGTAATGATCATTTTTACCGGCAATCAATACACAGGTTAAAGAGAAGCTTTATGCAACTAATTGTAGAAACCAGGGGTCCAATGTGTGTATTGCTCGGATACCCAAATCGCCAGTGTGGCTTAAAATGGTTCTAAAGGCAAGATGTTTTACCTTAATAAACTGCCTGCATTCAAATTGTTATAAAGGTCACAAGTGTTTGTTTAATTTTTGTTCTTTTTGACTGTAATGTATTCTTTGCACAAAAGTTAAAAAAAAAAAACCTTTCAAATGTTCCTCCCTCCCAGCCCCCCTTAAACACTTACCTAGGCCTGATCTCAATCCAGCGCTGTGCCTGTTTGCAGCATCTTTTCTCCCCTTTCTTCTTTCAGAAGGCTCTGCAGCAGTGGGAGCCATTAGCTCCGTGTCTCCATGTAGTGCCCCCTTTTACCTTGCTATATACTTAAGTCCAGCGTTGTGCCCATCTGCAGCAAGCCATTGGCTCCTGGTGTGTGTGTTATTAGACATACACAGCCCAGCTCGGGCACAAGCCCGTAGGTGCTTCCCTTCCCTATAGGAAGTGGAAAGAGCTGGTGGGGGACCCGAGAAGAGGATCAGGGCCCCTATGTGCAATACCATTGAACGAGACCGGTAAGTATAACATGTTTGTTATTACACTTAAAAAGCTTCTATTTATTTTTTTATTTTATTTTTTTTTCTTTCTCTGTATGAGAAGTGTAATAAAAAAAAAGTTGATCTGCCTTAAACCTTGTTGGCTGATAACTTCCTGCACTCTCTGCCAGTAGTACAGAACCAGCTTGTAATGGAGAAGAGGAGATATGGAGGTTATTGTAGTACTGTCCTAGGTTGACAGTTTTTTTTTTTTTTTCTTCATAGATACAATACAGTGAGCACTGGTAATTTATATTAGAGCACTAGCAGCATGCCACATTTCAGTGCCTGTGTTGTGAAATTTGAAGATTAATTTTTCTACAATGGTCATAGCTATAGAGATTAATTGGAATAAGAACCCTCCTCCTCTGCCTAACACTGCAACATATAATGGTGTAGCAGGTTCTTCCTTTTTTAAATGTTATAGGTACAGGCAGAATCACCAGGTATTAGTGACAAGATTACGATATCAAAGTAGAAACAAAACAATGCAGTTTTCATTTGAATTCTTACCTAGTTTTAAACCATCAAAGCATATTATCAGTCCCTATATGTGGTGGTTGAATTGTTGTTGGCTTTTTTTGTTTTGTGTTTTTGGGCCATATTCAAGTACAAAAACCACCTGTTGATCTTGCCAGAAATGTAGTTGTCACTTCCTGTGACAACAAATGGCTTTCTTTCTGAAGGGTAACTCCACTTTTTTTAGAAAACCATAATGGCAAACAAAAATATAGCATGTATAGTTGTTACACGAACCATAGCATAGTTTAACAATTACATTTCCATTTTATTCTGCAGGGATGTCGTTTTTCAGTAAAATTCATTGCAATATGACAACCTAGAGATGTTCTGTACATCATTTGGTGCACGGAACACCTCCAGAAATGTAATTTCCTCGTGTGATTGAATCACTGATTTTCTCAGAAGTCTGCACTAAGATACAAGTCCAATTTTTGGATCTTGTATCTCTGCAACAGAAGTGTATCTTATGGTGAGATGCTCCCCAAGGGTTAAAGTAGCACCGAAGGCAACTTATTTTTTTTCTTTTTACTTTTTTAAGGTTTAGTTGTGCTTAAGCTACTATTTTTGTGTTTTTTTTTTTTTTTTTTTTTTTTTTGTTTTGTATTTTTTTTTTTTTGGGGGGGGGGTTACCAGTCCTGTAGTTCTACTTCAAATAGAATTTGTCATTGAGTGTTCAATTTCAAGTTGCAAACAAGGTGCTTGCAAATGTTCACCTGTCTGCAAGATATTTGGTACATGGGATGCAGTTTGGAGAGATTTACTAGATTAGCAGTGCATCTGTACAGCCTCTTTAGCAGATTATTTATGTTTTCCAGTCTAAAATTGGAATGTGACAAGTTGGCCAGTGAGAAATCTGAGATGCAGCGACACTACGTCATGGTAAGTTCTTGGGAAAGGGGGCAAGAAAACTGTCAGTCTTTGAACACAAATATTGTTACCTTAATGCTTACAGCATTACATGCATGATTTTGTGTTGGATACGGTGTTTGCAATCGAGTGGCATGTTCTCTCATTTTCAACTTGTTACCTTTTTTCCATTGTTATTTAGACACCTGGATTATACTTTAGATTTACTAAAGGCAAATAGGCTATGCACTGCAAGCACAGTTGCTGTAGATCTGAATGGAACACATAAGGAAAATAAAACCAAAAACAGCATTTTTGCTTGTACATGATTGAAAGAGAAATCGGCAGAGCTTTGCCTCATTTCAGAGCTTCCCCTCAAATCTAAAGCAACTGCACTTGCAGGTGCACTTACAGTGCAGAGTATATTTACTTTTAGTAAATCAACCCCAGTATATTTTCAAAGCCATCTGTTGTTGAACGCTGCATTGCTTGGGTGCTGTAGAATCTTATTTTGAATTTATAAACAATCTTGCTGTTTGTGCCTTTTTAAAGCGGAATTCCACTCACGCTGTCAACAAATAAGTTAGCAGCTACAAAAACTGTAGCTGCTGACTTTTAAAAAACACACACTCACCTGTCCCTCGGTCCCGCGGTGTGTCCCCTGCCGCCTGTTTTACCGGCCATCTTCTCTCCCTGGGCGCCGGCATCTTCAGTGTGGGCACCCGGTTGTGACAGCTTGCGACTTCTAGTGTTGTCACCTCATCTCTTTAAAACTGAACACATTATTACACAGGTTCTTGTCAGCCAATGAACACAGGATGTCCTGGGAGAGCCAATTGAATGTGTTTGGTTTTAAAGGGATGAGGTGGCAACCCTATGCCAGTCATAAGTGGCAGAGACATTCCCTGCCCTGAAGTAGTATGTATACATATACCTGAGAGGCGTGGACCTTGGCTGCTTATGATTGGCTCTGTGCAATGACACCTTCCTGGCAGGATAGCTCAGGTGGGTTCGGACCAGGATCTGAACGTGCCTGAGCTCATCCCCCACCATTTTTGCACTGATAACAAAACATACTAATTCCAGTTAAAACAAAAGTTGATCAGTGAACTGTCATCATTCCTTGAAGCAATGACTAACACAGATTATCGTGTGTAGCTTTCTGTCTAGATTTGCTTTGTTTGTTTTCTGTTTGCTGTTTCACCATAAATTAGTTTCCCATAGTTTACCTTCAAGTGCCTCAATAATGGGGCATAGCAAGCCTTGTTTCATTGAAGCCCTAGTTGTTTAAAATGTATTTCAGACTTGGTTTGCACATTTCTGACCCATGGTAGTACTTGCTAAAGAGGCCAGCTTCTCAATTAAGGGTCTTCTCTGGTGCCAAGAGTTTTGTGATCAATTTAGGAGGCCTTCCTCATTTTATCCCCTTGGAGAAGCTCTTTACTCCCTCAGTTCAGGGCAATTAGGTCTTTAATTATGTCTGCCAAGATGTAGCTGCAGATGGTTAAGCAGCCAGCAATGCTCCTGCTTCACTTTAACCCCTGAGGGCAATTACAGAAACCTTCCTGTTTGTATATGGAGTAATGATCCTTCCCTCCTAAAATCCACCTCAAGGGACCATAACAATTCTAAGCATAAACAAGCAGAGCTTGTGTGCATGGATTCTTTATTTCTGGTTAAAATCCTGCTTAAAATTTCTTTCCACAAGTGTAAATCAGCTTGTCTCTATCAGAGTGCTGGGAAGGAAGGGGTTATGTTGGATGGCTGTAGCCTTTCCAAGATGTGGAAGCAGGAAAAACTGGAGCTTGAGTAGTGCATAGCTGCCTGCCAAAAAATAATTCCACCCTCCTTCCCCTCTCAGCAGGTCTCCTGGCTTATCCCTCTCTTGTGGGGTTATGCCATTCATTCACTCTTCCAGACAGCTGCTTGTTACAGGATGGGGAGGGGAGAGGGCCAGGGCAGAGTGTAAATCTGCCTAAAAATCTTTCTGGGACTTGTAAGACAAAGAGGTCAGACTCTGGGGAGGAGGTGAAGGGGGCAGCTTCCCAGACAGGGGATCATTGTAATTTAACTGTTTCAGACCAACAGGTTACATTGGTGTATTTACTGTGAGTCAGAACTTGCAACATCAATATGGTATAATTTAATTAGACTTTTAATTTCTGAGCTAGCAGTCCAGATTTGAACTCCGCTTAAGGCTGGCCCTAGATGAGTAGTTGTTTTTTTTTTTTTTTTTTTTTTTTGCTGCAGGCTGAATAGAAAAGAGGGGGGGTAGCGGGGGAGACTAACCGCTTCCTCCCTCCATGCAAATGAGGAGGATGGAGGAATCCCCACCCCCCACAACAATTTATTCTGACAGCAGGACTCAGAGCTGTGAATACACTGATCACCAGTTTAGCATAAGTTGATCAAGCTAAAAAAACTTTATTACTGGCTACAACAGGGACAGCCAGCCACACATGGATCAAATTTAATCTGGTCCCTGCTGAATCTGCCAAATTCCAATCTGTTTGTTGCCAGTTTTAGGACAGCATTTCTGTAGTGAAAAGCTCTGGCAGATGACCTCATTCTATGTCACCTGCAGTGTCATAACTCAAAGTTCTGATATAATTGTGCAATGGAGGCAATCAGTCCTGCATATACTTTGAGGAGAGTTGTAAAAAGGAAGAGGGGGTTCCCTCTGTGTATCCTGGAACAAAGCTTCACTTCTATGGAGAAAAGAAATGTAATAGATATTACAGGCCCATGTAATGTTTTACATACAGTTTAGAAAGAAATCAGGACCAAATTTAGCCAATACCAATTGAACTGTCTGTATTTATATGGCTGCATTTACAGTAATGCACTGTTCTGCATTTTTTTAGTTGCTAAGTGCTGCAGCAATTAAAATACACTTATGCCAGTGCCTTGAATATTTGGGCCACTGCTGTTGTAGACAACATAGCATGTGAGGGCACCAGTGGTCTAACCTTCTCCCTGCATATTGCTTTAGCCAACCACACGTTGGCTCCATGATTGGAGCACTGTGCAAGAGGCATGTAGGACCACTGGAAACTTGGGTTACTGTTTGTGTGAGTCCAACTTGCTGTCGGCACAGGTTAATTTAACCCTTGCTGTAGCCCATAGAAAAAAAAAAAATGCAGCCCAATTTACTACTGCAAAAGTAGCCTGCGTGCATTATAGTTTTAAAAATGTATCCTGGTAGGTGGGCTGTCAATAAAAATGATTACAGTACATCTTAGTGTGCAGGTAATCCTTTTTGTTTTTGTTATGAACTTCAGGAGGATCTGTACTGACATTTTAGAGCAATGTTTTGACTCATTGGGGGGTGGGGTAGTATTGAAATACAACATGTGATGCCCACATAGGGAAGCAGTTTTCAGACTTCTGGAACCATTGCCTGCTTAGAACTGAGATGAAACTTTACTGCCAAACTGTGGATTCAAAAAAGTAACCATGGTAAATGTGTTCACACAGTGAATTTATGAGTGAATGTTGCTTTTTGTTTGAAGGTTTTTTTAGTTGTTTTAAATCGGCTTCATTTTGTCTTGATGAGACTCTCTGGAAGGATAGGGAGCTAGCATCAGTATGACAAAAAAACTGAATGTGTTCTGAAAAAATATAATTTGGGCACATGAGTGGATCAAAATATGTCCACTTTAACAGGGATACTTGCCAATATCAGTGCTGCCTTTCCGTCTTCTGGTTCTTTTTTTCAGGCTGCCTCTGTGCAGCTGGTGCCCCTGTACCCGCTCTGCTGTTTTGAAAATGTCTGCCTGCACATGCTGAAGATGGATTGCACAATTGTACCCACCAAAAATCTGTGAAAGGGGTTTTTCATTTGTTGAAACAGCAATTGAATCTGATGCCATACAAGCATATGTGCGAGATGAAGCTTCATGTTGTGTATGTGGAGTATCCGGTTACTGCAAGATCTCAGAGCTTAGTAGGAGATCTCTCTGAAGGCACTGGTGCTGTTGCCTTCCCAGGGGGCATCTGTGCAGCCAGGACTATGTCACTGGTGCCTTCAGGGGAACTAGAAGGTGGATGCACAAAAGGAAAGTAAACCAGAAACTTTTTTTTTTTTTTTTTTTTTTTTTTACATCAGAATACAGTGTTGCATGCTGATATGGAATTTGCTATGGGGGTAAAGGTCCACTTTAGAGTAACATTAAACTTCTGGTTTAAAAATGAAAAATTCTATTCAAGTATGCCTTTGTAACTCAGAAAGTGGCTTCTGTTTCTCTCGGCCTTCTCCAGAGGGTGGGTACGTTCATTCACCATGGTCCCACTTTTCAAGTGATCCTTGCAACAGACTGCCATTGTCAGTGAGAAATCAGTTTATGGTAGTGGAATTCTTAAGCAGTTTGCTATAATAAGCTACATTTTAGCTTATATCTTACCACTGCAAGATGATTGAGCAGTTGTGCGCACATTCCCTGCATGGAGGCATCATTTGGATATCCTTTAGCACCATCACAATTGTTTTTGAAAAATGTGTTTTTTCTTGGTAGTTAGTCATGTTTTATGAAACATTCTTTCATTCAGTTTTACTTTCTCTATAGTTTGTCATATTGATGTATGTCAATATATTCTCTGATATTAACAACATAATTTCTCTTCTCAGTATTATGAGATGTCCTATGGCCTAAACATTGAAATGCACAAACAGGTAAGCACAGTGCAGTGTCGTTTGGGTAGACTTGTATTTGTATGATGCCTGCATTTTTTTTTTTTTTTTTTTAATCTAACCCTAGAATTAGCTATCTTCCAAAACTGGAAATTTTGTACAGATTTGCTAGAAGTCTTTGCCAGCAAAGCCTGCCTTGTTTTTGCAGTCCTAGGAACTTCCACTTAAGTAATAGACACAAACGCAACCACCACAATAACCTGGCTGCACAGCTGTTCTGAATCAGTTGCACAAACCCACAATCATCAGATGTCTTTGGATCACTTGTTTTAAAGAGTTCTGCAAAATTCCACATCCAGCTTAGGATTTGGCTGAGATGTTCCTTTTCTGTCTGCTGAATTTAGATTTATTAGTCAGAGGCCGATTATCAGGGAAAAGGTCTTCCTAAGTCCAAGTGCTTCTGTATTGGTAGATTCCAGCTGCATTACTTCCAAACTTTACCCTGGAGGGAATGTTTTCTTTATTAAAAAAAAAAAAAAAGACTTTATTGGTTGGTCTCTCCTTTCCCCTACAGCACCCTATCATGTAAACACATTACAAATTTTAGGATCTGTTTCAATGATAATTAGGGAACAAAAAGCTGTGAAGAAGCTAGTTTCCAAAACATAATTTTTAAACACTTCAGGACTTTTTGAGGATGCCTCCTTGCTTCTAGTGTATAAATTGTCACTCAGTCAATCTATGTATAATAGGAAGGTTCTTGGGACAGAGAGTACTTATGAATTTCTGTGTATTATAATAGGAGCAGAATGGACTTGCATGGATACTAAAAATAGTTCTATTGTAAAGGACTTGTGAATTTGTTGTACTAGAAACAATAAAAGTAGCCTAGGTGATTGATGTGTGCATTAGACAATGAGTGGAGGTCCTGAGACACTTTATCCTCTCCATACAAATAGGAATGCATGGTCTACTTTCTGAGAACATTTTGTGTACTAAAAACACTTTCTTGATCATATGTGGCTTCTAAAGTATCTAAGGCAAATTTTGGATTTGAAAATGAGTACAGGCTTATGTGACAGACTTTCAACATGGCGATGGTTATTTAGACATTGAGCACTGCATTATGGATTGTGAAAGATAAAATATCTACTTTCCCCATACTCCGAAATTTACAATTTGTATGTGTGTGTATATATCTATATATAATCTCTATCTATATTGTATAATGATCCTCCTGCGCTTCAAAATAAATACTATTGGTGATAACTACAAGCTGCTAACACCCAATCCTATACCCATAGGTGAAAATACATGCAATAAAGAAATTGATGTAACGCTCTATGTAATTATATCATAAGAATAAATATATATCAAACAAGTGTATAAATGAAATGATAAATCCAAAAGTGAACTGATCCTCCAGGGATCCAATTAGGACACACTTAACACGTGCCACAAAATACATGAATAAACGAATTGGTCTCAATTGGACCCAATATAGTGTGAAATCATCAAAATGACACCAACAAAAACCCCCAATCCCTAATTGGGATTAATAAAACATAGATCTTCGTGCAATAAACAGTGAATCCCTCAAAAGGGGATATATCTCCTGAATAAAGTGATACGTGCTCAGACCCCAGTATACAACATTCAAATATAAAACCTCACCCTAAAAAACTTTTAAATCTCAACAATCCATTTAGAAAAATACTGTATAGTGAAATATACATATAAAAATTGTAAATAATATGAAAGTCCAAAATGGTGCAAATCTGCAAGATGTGATCCAATATTCAAAAACATGCAGGTGATGCTGTGCATGTGTGTACAAGCCAATGTGAATCCTTAAATGGCTAGATTGCCCCCTCCACTTCCTTACTGCGACTCACAGGGCCAACGTGCCTTTCGGATCACACCAGGATCCTTCACGGGCAGTAACTCCTCAATAGATGATATCCAAAGAAATCCCCATCAATGGTGGCTCTTATACATCACAGGTTCCCCTCCAGAAATAGGTACCCCCCACCGCAATACAGCTCACTCACATGGATCACAATTAATGACAAGAAAGATCCTCCATAGTGTAACACTATTTATTGTAAGTGTATAGCAGAGAAAACGCTAAATTCCCACTCGGTAGCAGATATACATAGGCATTCAAACCACATGCTATGGGTGTAATCTGCATGGGTTTCAGGTGTACCAAGATGGTGTCCGCCGTAACTACGTCACCGTGCACCTACGCGTTGCGTCACGCTCAACACGTGACTTCCTCAGGGTTACACTATTGGTGACAAGCTCTCATCTTTATAGGGAGACCAAATGTCAATCAAAACCCCGGAGGCAGACCCCCCGCGGCAATTTTCTTGAGGTCCAATGCCATGGTAAACTAATAACACTGCATCTCCCTTATGTTAGTACTCGGCCGGTAAGAAAAATGTGTCGTGGGTCTTTATACATTATAAATAACGGTAAGCAGTGATACCCTGATTACCCTAAATGACAATGGCAAAAAAAAAACTAAACTAAAATAGAGGCTCAAAAAACAATACTACGTCAATATACCCGGTGGCCATTGAGGTGAATCCCAATATATTGGAATAATAATGCTACACATATATTAAGATAATTAAATAAAAAAACTTTTATTAAGATACTATAAAGTCTATTTAAATCTACCTAAATATGAAGTAAATAAAATATAAAAACACAAGGACCCTAACTTCACTTTACAGAACCGTAAAAAGAATAAATATCCATATAAGAACCGATATCACAATTAATAAAAAAAAAAAAAAAAAAAAAAAAAAAAAGGTCAAGAAGATAATCAAATCCTGATCAAAAATATATCCTAAAAACGTACTATAAAAATCTTTTTGGATAAAATAAATAAAAATAAGCCCCTATCCATGCAGTTACACTCATACCATAGGTGTACATATTATATTCCTCATCAACCCTAATACGTTTAAAACAAATAATTATATAATATGTTAATTCATATCACATATAAAAATTCAGGTGTAAGATCCATAAAAAAATAATAAAAACGAATGGTGACACCCATAACTACAAGTCACTAATGATCAATCCAAATCAAATGCCACTAATTAAAGTATGCATACTAAAAGGGAGCAATCGCTAATAAACTTTCTTCCCTAATAATCACTAATGAAGCAATTCAAGTTGAATTATTTTGGCCCAGTGAGTCGCGGTAAGGAGGAGATAGATATAGATAGATATCTCATACACACACACACTCACGGGTTGGACAAAACCACAGAAACGCCAAGTAAAAACAAAATACTTAGCTAATATGGTATTGGACTGCCTTTGGCATCCAGGACGGCCTGAATGCTCCTGAGAATTGACAAATATAAGTCTTGGATGGTGGATAATGGAATCTGATACCTGGTTTTCATGCAAAAACCAGGTTTTGTACAGATACCAGAGATGGAAAACGAGCCTGAACCTTGTTCTCCAAAATTGACCATAGTGGCTCTGTGATATTGAGGTTTCGGTGACTGCGGCGCCCAGGGAAGGTGCGAGACTTCGTCTGAATACTTGTCAAACCATGATTTGACAACTTCTTGGTAAATGGCATTGTCTTCGTGGAAACAATGTCTGCACCAAGGAGTGCACATGGTTTGTTAAAATTTGTACATAGTCATTGGCAGTGAGTCTACCTTTCAAGGTGATGAAGGGGGCCTGCAGAATACCATTATATGGCTGCCTATAGCATGATTGCACTGTCCCCATGCTTTACTGTTGGCACAAGACAGTCCAGGTTGTAAGCTTGGGATGGTGTTCGCCACATGTAAAAACATCTGGTGGTTGGCAACAGCGTGAAGCTCGATTCATCAGACCATGTTAGAGGTTTCCATTGATCGATAGCCAATTATTTATGGGCATTGCACTACTCTCTCCTCTTCTGAGCATTAATATCGGTCAGTAGTGGTTTGGTAATTGCAGCCCACCCATGAATGTTTTGCTTATAGAGTTCCCTTTGTACAATTTTTGTGGACGTGGACTTTGGATGACTGAGATTGAGATGTGCAGTCACATTTGCAGCAGTTTTCCTCTTACCATGTCATCCTGCACATTGTCCTTTTTGTCTCGGTCAGTGGACCAGGCTTATGCTTCTCAGATGACTGTTTCCTGGAAACTATATGCTGTCATAACCTTTGATACTGTACCTCATGAAACCGCAAACAAACTGGCAACTTCGGTCAGAGATACCAGCTAAGTGGGCACTAACAATTGCTCAAAGCTCTGACATGACTCCGTATAAGCAACCGCGCACGCAGTGAATGACGAAAGTGAGGCTTCCCACCTTTTTAGCTAGCGGTCTCATACAGCCAAAGCAAAAGAATGTTACGTCACTTCCGCTATTAACATAAAGCATGTCACTTGCACACTTGCAAATCACGTAGTGTTTCCATATTTTTGTCCAACCCGTGTGTGTGTGTATGTGTGTGTGTGTGTGTGTATATGTGTGTGTGTGTGTGTGTATATATATATATGTGTGTATGTATGTGTGTGTATGTATATGTGTGTGTGTGTGTGTGTGTGTGTGTATATATGTGTGTGTGTGTGTGTATGTGTATGTGTGTGTGTGTGTGTGTGTATTCTGGGGAAAATAATTTTCATCCCCTGCATATTTTGTACGTTTGCCGACTTACAAAGAAATGAAGGGTCTAAATTTTTTTTTTTTTTTTAATCATAGGTGTCTTTTACATGATAGACTGTCAACCAAAATTCCAGAAAAAAGTTATAAATTTAGTTGCAGTTCAGTGAGTAAAAAAGGTATTTGATCCCCTACCAACCAGCAAAAATTCTGGCACCCACAGACTGGCTATGTGCTCTTGTGGTACACAGATTAGTGCTGTCCATTTTAAGAAGGTTCTCCTAACGACAACACTTGTCACAGAATCTTTCTTCCATTCAAACCTCACCTTGCCATGGGCAAGACCAAAGAGCTGTAAAAGGACGTCAGACAAGGTTGTAGACCTGCCAAGGCTGGAATGGGCTAAAAGACCATCAGTAAAATGCTTAGTGAGAAGGAGACAACTGTTGGAGTGATTATTTGCAAATGAAGGAATACAAAATAACAATCAATTGCCTTTTTGGTCTGGAGCTCCATACAGAATTATGCCTCATGGGGTAAGGATGATCATGAGAAAAGAGAGGGATCAGCCCAGAGCAACACAGGAGGAGCTTGTGAATGATCTCAAGGCAGTTGGGACCACAGTAACCCAACAAACTATTGGTAACACAAGATGCCGTCATGGTTTGAAGTCCTTCAGCTCCCGCAAGGTCCCCCTCCTCAAGAAGCCACATGCACAGGCCCGTCTGAAGTTTGCCATTGAACATCTAAATGATTCAGAAGGATTGGAAGAAAGTGCTGTGACCAAATGAGACCAAAATTGAGCTCTTTGCCATTAACTCGATTTGCCGTGTTTGGAGGAAGAAAAATGCCGACTATTACCTTAAGAACACCATCCCTAGAGTCAAGCAAGGTGGTGGAAACATTTGCTTTTGGGGCTGTTTCTCTGCTAGAGGTACAGGCCAACTTTGCCACACTGAGGGGCCAATGGACGAGGCCATGCATTGTAAAATCTTGGGTGAGAACTTTCTTCCCTCATTCAGAACACTGAAGATGTGTCTTCTAGCATGACAATGACCCAAAACATACTGCAACAAAGGAGTGGTTCAAGAAGATGCACATGAAGTGGCCTAGCCAGTCTCCAGACCTTTAATCCTATAAAAATTTTATGGAGGGAGCTGAAACTTCAAGTTGGCAAGCGACAGCCAAGAAACTTTAAGGATTTAGAGAAGATCTGTAAAGAAGAGTGAACCAAAATCCCTCCTGAGATGTGTGCAAACCTGGTAATCAACTACAGAGGTTTCTCCACCAAGTACAAATCATGTTTTGCTTGGGGATCAGATACTTATTTTACACCTAATGATAAAAAATTTATAGACCCTTCATTTCTTTGTAAGTGGGCAAACCTTATCTGCAGGGGATCAAATAATTTTCCCCACTGTACTATATTGCCAAAAGTATTGGGATACCCATCCAAATCATTGGATTCAGGTGTTCCAATCAGCTCCATGGACACAGGTGTATAAAATCAAGCACCTAGGCATGCAGACTGCTTCTACACATTTGTGAAAGAATGGGTCGCTCAGTGAATTCAAGCGTGGTGCCGTGATCGATTGCCACCTGCCCAGCCGTGAAATTTCCATGCTACTAATTATTCCTCGGTCAACTGTTCGTGGTTTAACAATGTCGAATCACCTGGGAACAGCAGCAACTCAGCCACGAAGTGGTAGGCAGCGCACAGTGCGCAGTCATCGCCAACTGTGTACAGCGTGTATAGCTAAAGACCTCCAAGCTTCATGTGGCCTTCAGATTAGCACGACAACAGTGCATAGAGAGCTTCATGGAATGGGATTCCATGGCCAAGCAGCTGCTTCCAAGCCTTACATCATCAAGTGCAATGCAAAGTGTCAGTTGCAATGGTGTAAAGCACACCGTCATTGGATCTCTAGAGCATTGGAGACGTGTTCTCTGGAGTGACAAATTGTGCTTCTCTGTCTGGCAAGCTGATGGACGTGTCTGGGTTTGGTGGTTGCCAGGAGAACGGTACTTGCCTGACTGCATTGTGCCAAGTGTAAAGTTTGGTGGAGGGGGGATTCTGGTGTGGAGTTGTGGGTTTTTTTTGTTTTTTATTTGAGGTAGCTCCAGTGAAGGGAATTCTTAAGGTGTCGGCATACCAAGACATTTTGGGAAATTTCATGCTCCCAACTTTGTGGGAACAGTTTGGTGATGGTCTTTTCCTGTTGCAACATGACTGCGCACCAGTGCACAAAGCAAGGCCCATGTAGACCAGGATGAGTGAGTTTGGGGTGGAGGAACTTGACTGGCCTGTACAGAGTCCTGACCTCAACCCTATAGAAGACCTTTAGAATGAATTGGTGTGGAGATCCAATACAACACACACACACTATAGCTTCTAATGCACACAGTGAAGTGCTCACAATGTGTGCAGTAAAATCAAAGTGAGCAATTTCAGTACGGGAGAGGAACCTGTAGAACAGTGGAAGGCTAAAGGTAAACCTAGAGTTGAACCTTAATGCCAACATTTTTTATAAGGTGTAAAGAAAATGAAAGTTTGGCACTTTTTTTTTTTTTTTTTTTTTTTTTTTAAACGCATTGCTATAACTTTTTTTTTTTCTTTTCTTCCAGGCTGAAATTGTCAAAAGGTTAAATGGAATTTGTGCCCAGGTTTTGCCTTACCTCTCTCAGGAGGTAAGTTTCTGCACAGTTATTAGATAAAAAAACATAAAAACAGCATGTTACGACAGTAGTGGTACTGTTCCCTTGCTTTTAAATGTCATTAATCAAAACGTATACATTGCTTTGGTGTAATAAAACATTAGTACATTTGCCCTGACCACATTATTACATGCTGGATTTTTTTTTTTTTTTTTGTCTATCTCTTTACTGATCTTAATTCTGTCATTGCAGCATCAGCAACAAGTTCTGGGAGCCATTGAGAGAGCAAAGCAAGTGACTGCTCCAGAACTGAATTCCATTATCCGTGTATGTTAGTCTTTTTTGGATTGTAAGGGGAAAAATTATACATGCAGTGGTGTTTTAAGGGGGAAAAATAAACTTGCATCCAGTGTGCCCTTTTCTTTATTTGACATGTCTGGCACTGTATTGCAAACACACTAAAATTGCCCATTGTCCCCCTTTTTTTGGTATAATGTGAAAGGAGGCACTCTTCACTTGGTGGGAAGGCTATGACTCCTGAACTATACAGTGTATTTTATACGGATTATTGGATAATGTCTTTCTGGAATATTTATTATTATTATACAGTGTTTATATAGCGCCAACAGTTTGCTCAGTGCTGTACATTGCAATGGGAGACAATACACGAGACAGTGCAATAACAATACAATGCGATACACGAGGGGTTCGAGGGCCCTGCTCCTTGGAGCTTACAATCTAGGAGGGAGGGCATAGTGGTATGGGAGGAATAGCTGTGGGGGATGGAGTGGTAGGAAGAGTGGAGGAGATCGGCAAATAGCTGAGGGAGCGGTAGGCTTCCCTGAAGAGGTGAGTTTTCAGGGTGCGCCTAAAGGAGAGGAGAGTAGGTGATAGTCTGATGGATTGGGGTAGGGAGTTCCAGAGGATGGGGGAAGTCCTGGAGACGGGCATGGGAGGAGGAGACCAGGGAACTAGAGAGATGGAGGTCTTGTGAGGAGCGGAGAGTACGTTTTGGGTGGTATTTGGATATCAGGTTGGTGATGTAGTTTGGGGCAGTGTTATGGACAGCTTTGTACGTCCGTGTTAGCATTTTGAATTGTATCCGTTGGGCAATCGGAAGCCAGTGGAGGGATTGGCAGAGGGGTGTGTGGCGGATACGGAGCGGTTAGTAAGGTAGATGAGTCTGGCCGCAGTATTCAGGATAGACTGAAGCGGGGATAGCCTGTGGTGAGGTAGGCCGGTGAGGAGGGAGTTACAGTAGTCAAGTCGTGATATAAGGGAGTGAATGAGTTGCTTAGTCGTTTCCGGGGTTAGGAACGGACGTATTTTGGAGATGTTGCGGAGGTGGAGTCTGCATGAGTTTGTCAGCGATTGGGGCTGGAAGGACAGATTAGAATCTAGGATAACACCAAGTACTCTGGCTTGCGGGGTGGGACTGATGGTGGCATTGTTGTTCGTGATGGAGAAGTTGGGGGGGGGGGGGGGTGCGGGCTGGGGGGAAATCTAGGAGCTCGGTTTTGGAAAGGTTCAGTTTGAGGAAGTGGGGTGACATCCGATGTCGTTCAGTAGGCTAGTGATTCAGGTGGAACTGAAGAGGTGAGGTCAGGGGTAGAGAGATAGATTTGCGTGTGTGGTCGGCATAGAGATGGTAGTTGAAGCCATGAGAGTGTATCAGTTGGCCGAGGGAGGAGGTGTAGATGGAGAAGAGAAGGGGCCCCGAGGACAGAGCCTTGAGGAACCCCAACAGAGGGGGAGTGAGGGGGAGGTGGCAGCGTTATAGGTAACACTGAAGGAGCGCTGTGATAGATAGGAAGAGAGCCAGGAGAGAGCGGAGTCTCTGAGGCCAAGAGTGTAGTTTTTTTAGGAGGAGTGGTCGACTGTGTCGGAAGCCGCGGAGAGGTCGAGGAGTAGGAGCACTGAGTAGTGGCCATTAGCTTTGGCGGTTAGCAGGTCGTTGGTGAGTTTGAGTAGGGCGGTTTCGGTGGAGTGTAGGCGAAGGAAGCCAGACTGTAGGGGATCAAGCAGGTTGTTGCCGTTGAGGTAGGAGCTTAGGCGATTAAAGACTAAGCGCTCGAGGAGTTTGGTTGTAAATGGCAGCAGGGAGATGGGTCTAAGGTTGTTCAGGTCGGTGAGATCCAGGGAGGGGGTTTTTTTAAGTATGGTAGTGATGTGCGCGTGCTTCAGAGGGGAGTGGAATGCGCCAGTAGAGAGGGAGAGATTAAAGATGTGAGTGAGGGAGGGATGGAGGAGGAGGGAGATCGTAGGAGTTGTGAATAGAAAGCAATGTACCTCAGATGCCAAATGTAAGATGTTCTGACTGGTAAAGCTTCTTCAACACTTTAACTGCTAGTGTTGGAGCCTTCTGCATTCCATACATTTCAGTTGGCCCATCACTGTGATGGGCAGCCTTACTGGTCAGCAGGAATGTGCAGTATGGGGGTGGGCAGATTTTGACACTACCACTGAAGCTTTGACAGGTAGAATGGCCCAGTATTGAGATGAACAGGAACTTGGTGACTGCATTTTATATGAAGGACAGAGCTGCTCTTTACAGAAATTGGAAGTAGGAGGAATAATAAAGCTGTCATTGCTGACCAAGAGTACCAGGTTATCGCTGGCCTAGTGGACTCCAAATCCAGCTCTGGAGTTGGGGGAAATCCATTCTTCCAGTCTCTTGGAGAATTCCCAGACACCTTGTTGGTGCAGGAGACTTGGCAGCCAGAGGAATCCCATCTCCTGATCAACATTTTAGAACTTTGGCCAATTTGGTTGTCCCTACAACTCTGGAAATCCCCACAACTCTGGAAATCCCCACTGGTGGTTGGATCCGGTTGGATAGTGCCACAGAAGTGTGCATAAACCATATAGGATTAGGGCCTCTGAGGATTGGTGGGCTCCTACCATTCTAAAAGGTAGGAATTCCACTTGCTGCAAGGTCTACTATCACACATGAAAGACATACTTTGCATGGTGTGAAGCAAGAAACTTTAATCCCAGGACATATTCTGTTGGGAGCATCCTGACCTTTTTATCTAATCATTTCAGGACCAGCATTTTGACTTCAAGTACCATTAAGGGTCAAACCTCTGTGCTTGCAATCTTGTTCCAGAAATTGCTAGCCTCCAAAATATGTTTTGTTTTCTACATGGTGTCTCATGTGGCTCCTTCTGTACATTACCTTTCACTCAGGGATTTTAACTTGGTTCTTTTTCGCACTGTTCAAAAGGGTGGTTTTTAATATTTGAGATTTTCCCTTTTTGTGCTTACTCACAATGTTGCTTTTCTTGTTGCCAACGCCTCTACAATGTACTTGCAGCCTTGTCTTGTAAAGAACCTTTTCTGATTTAACAGACCTGCTGGGCCTAGAGCCTCTTTCTTTCTGCACCCTTTAATCTCAGCCAGGATATTTTACTTTCATCACTCTGCCTGGCTCATGTATATCAGCAGGAGATCTTCCTTCATTTTCCAGATTTAGTTTGTGTTCTTCCTTTGTAGCCACTGCTTCCATTATGAACATGGACTAAGAGGGATTCTACCAAGCTGACCGTTTTGAATTTATTTTTGTCAGTGTCAAATTGTTCCTGTAGATGGCAGTATAACCCAGATGTCTCAGGATGTTGTGTCCATCAATGAACTCCAAGAGAGGTTTTTAGAGTCTGTACAAAATTTGTTCTTTTAACCCTACATTAAAGGACACAGGATGAAGTAATTTTGTTCACATTGGGTTATGCTGCTGCTTTCAGGAAATTGGACATTGGCAAACAAGGATAGATTAGTATAACCCATCCCACTCCTGGTATATCTTCTCCGAGAGAAACAAAACCTTTTTCTTTATTTTTCAATCATAATTCCATCCCACAAAGTATTCTGTAAAAGATGTATCTGGTCTTTTCTCAAGTCTGGTCTGAATCTACATTTGGCCTTGAGTACCATCAAGGGTCAAGTCTCAGCCCTAGAGATTCTTTTTTAAATACAACTTGCCTCCCACTCCTTTAGTAAAGATCTTTGTACAGGGTGTTGCTTACATTATTCCCTGTGTCACTCAGTGACACCATAGGATCTCAACCTGGTTCTGTCAATTCAGAAACCGCCCTTTGAGCCTCCTCGGGTATATTCCTCTGTCTACTCGCACTTGTAAGGTTGCCCTTCTTGTTATCAATACCTCAGTGAGTCAAGTTTTGATTTTATGTCCTCAACCTGTATATAACCTTTTTTCTTGTGCTACACCAAGACAGTTGACTTCCTTTCACATAGCCAGGACATTGTTCTGTCTTCTCTGTCCTGTTTGACATGCAGTGCCTTGAAAAAGGTATTCCTACCCCTTAAAATTTTCCACATTTTTGTCATGTTACAACCAAAAACGTAAATATATTTTATTGGGATTTTATGTGATAGACCAACACGACGTGGAAGAAAAATGATAAATGGTTTTCAAAATTTCTTTACAAATCAATATCTAAAAAGTGTGGTGTGCATTTGTATTCAGCCCCCTTTACTCTGATACCCCTAACAAAATCTAGTGGAACCAATTGCCTTCAGAAGTTCACCTCTGTGTAATTCTGTGTAATTTAATTTCCGTATAAATACAGCTGTCCTGTGAAGTCCTCCAGAGGTTTATTAGAGAACATTAGTGAACAAACAGCATCATGAAGGTCAGGGAACACACACTGGACAGGCCAGGAAAAAGGTTGTGGAGCAGTTTAAAGCAGGGTTAGGTTATACAAAAATATTTCAAGTTTTGAACATCTCACAGAGCACTGTTCAATCCATCATCCAAAAATGGAAAGAGTATGGCACAACTGAAAACCTGCAAACACATGACCGTCCACCTAAACTGACAGGCCAGGCAAGTAGAGCATTAATCGGAGCAGCAGCCAAGAGGCCCATGGTAAGTCTGGAGGAGATGCAGAGATCCACAGTTCAGATGGGAGAATCTGTTCACAGGACAACGATTCGTCGTGCAGTCCACAAATCTGGCCTTTATGGAAGAGTGGCAAGAAGCCATTGTTGAAATAAAAGCCATAGGAAGTCCCATTTGTGAGAAGCCATGTGGGGGACACAGCAAACGTGGATGAAGGTGCTCTAGTCAGATGAGACCAAAATTGAACTTTTTGGCCTAAAAGCAAAATGCTGAAGAAAACCTGTTAGTCTGCAAAAGACTTGAGACTGGGGCGGAGGTTCACCTTCCAGCAGGACAACGACCCTAAACATACAGCCAGAGCTACAATGGAATAGTTTGGATAAAAGCATATTCTTGTGTTAGAATGGCCCAATCAAAGTCAAGACCTAAATTGAGAATCTGTGGCAAGATTTGAAAATTGCTGTTCACAGGCGCTCTCCATCCAATCTGACAGAGCTTGAGGTATTTTGAAAAGAATGACCAAAAAAAACGTCACTCTAGATGTGCAAAGCTGGTAGAGACATCCCCTAAAAGACTTTCAGCTGTAATTGCAGCGAAAGGTGGTTCTAAAACGTATTGACTGGGGGGCTGAATATAAATACACACAACACTTTTCACATTTATTTGTAAAAAATGTTGAAAACCATTTATCATTTTCCTTCCACTTCACAATTATGTGCCGCTATGTGTTGGTCTATCACAACCAAAAACGTAATTGTATTTTTATTGGGCTTTTATGTAACATGACAAAATGTAGAAAATGTTAAGGGATATTAATACTTTTTCAAGGCACTGTACAATAGTTTCTCTCTATTGCCTAAATGTGGCATGTTCAAATTGATATCTCAATTATAGCTCCATTTCAGTCTGATTCTCTTGATTGTCATTCCTGAGGGTCCCCATAGGGGATAGCCGGTTTCCTGGTCATGCAAAACTGTACCCAATTAAAATTTTATACAATTTTTTTCCCCACAAATAAAGCTATTTTTTGGTGATATTTGATCACTTCTACGGTTTTATTACTTTTTTTTTTTATTATAGAAAAAAAAACTGACAATTTTGTTAAACCCAGTATTTTTTTTATTTTCTGCTATAAAACCTATTCAATAAAAAAAAAAAAGAGAGATCACATTTCTACATACATTTTTAGGCCAAAATGTATTCAGATACAAAAAAAAATCCCAATAAGCATATATTAATTTGCGCAAAGCATCTATACAAAATATGGGATATATGCTGGATTTTTTTTTTTATACTAGTAATGGTGGCGATTTATCGACTTATAGTGGGACTGCGATATTGCAGCAGACCTTTTTACACTGATACTCTGGGAACCAGTGACACTAATACAGTGATCAGTGCTAAAAATATGCACGGATTACTGTGCTAATGACACTGGCTGAGAAGGGGTTAACATCTAAGGTGATCAAAGGGTTAAGTGTGTGCCTTGGTGTACACTAGATGGCCCTGGTACAAGAGGAAGTGATGATCGTGTTCACAGCTCTGCAGGGACACAGATCACTCCCTCCTGTCATAACGGAGCTGTGTGCCCCTGTGAGAGATGCCATGTTGCAGCAAAACTGCTATAGGGCGGGGTAAAGTGGTTAATGTAATTAAAGCATAAATCAAAAATGGTTTTGGGATTTTTTTTTTTTCCTGGCTGATCTTTTGGTTACGGTACTGATTCACTAAACTTTTTTTTCACAAGTTTTTAGATCAGATGATCTGGCTTCATGCTGCCTTTCCTGATTTGCATAGTGATTAGGGTCAGTAATCTAGAAAGCAGTGAAGCTAGAGACTGCCAGTCAACTATTTTTCAGATGGAGACAAGCAGAAGAAGTGCCCTTATTTCTTGATACCTGTTCCCTTTGAACAGTTTTTTTTAGTTCTGCAGTTTGTTACATACATTCTTGGTTTCAGAAAAGCGTGAATGCAGGTTACTACTGACAGTGGACAGGCTACAGCTATCACACGTTCTTAATTAAGGGCTGCTGGTTTTTGTATTTTTCTGTTTTTGAGTGCTACTTGTTTGATCCAGTCTAACCCCCTTTTTTGTGATGTGTTTTTACTTACTTGCTTTACAGCAGCAACTTCAAGTCCACCAGCTGTCTCAGCTACAGGCTCTTGCCCTTCCTCTCACCCCTCTACCTGTGGGTCTGCAGGCACCCTCTCTGCCTGTCAGTGCAAGCAGTGGCCTTCTTTCTCTGTCTGCACTTGGTTCCCAAGGACATCTTCCCAAAGAAGACAAGAATGGTCATGATGGGGATCCTCGGCCTGATGACGACGGAGACAAGTCCGATTAAGACATGGAGGAAATTTAGATGGATAAAGGTGCAGCGCAGTGGTAACTCTAGCACTGTCTAGTGGAGTTACATTGTAGAGTATTATCCCAACATGCACTGGAAAGCCTCTTGTCAAAGGGTTAACAAAGCAAGAAACTGTCAGCCAGGAGGGCCGCTGTATATGTTATTGGACTATGAAAACCTATATATATTTGGAATGTAATGCAAATTGTATTGTAAATTGGCTAATAATTTTACCAAAAGCACAAACTCACAATTTTTATACAAAACTCATGTCATCCTATTGCTTTGGTTTAATACTTCGGTTTATGGACCATTTTAAACTGTTTAAGGTATTGTGTGGCTTTTTGCAGAACATATACTAAATAATATAACCTGGTTGGCCCCTATTGTGCAACTCTGTAATTGCTTGTCTTATACAGATCATTCCTGGCCAATGGCAGTAGTAGTTTGCCCCACATTTAATTTTATAAATTGAAACCATTCTGACTACATGTGGCACACAGTGTAGGTAGATACTTAGTGGGTTGAACCAGTGTGCAGCTAACAGTTCTCTAGAAACCAATTTCAAAACCAAACTTTACTGGCTTCAGGTGGACAATTCTGCTGCAGTTCACACATTAAAACATTGTGGGAAGGCTGCCATTAACCCTATATAGTCTCTTCCTCACTGGCCCAAAACACTGGAGAATCACTCGCTTGTACAATGTCATTATTCCAAACAATGAGTGACTACTCAATAGGAAAGTATAAGTTGTCCCTTAAACAGACCATACACCTTGCAATGTGATCCAACCAATCTTCTTTAGATAATTGTGCAGTACGGGACCCTACCTAACTAGTTACAAATCGAATGCATTGCTTCGATAAATCTAAGGGATATTTCATATTCAGATTGTAGGGTGTATAAGCCTGCTTTGATTCTGACCCCTATGATCCCTTGTTTGATAAAGTACCTATACTGTGGTTGCCACATATAAATATCAGGGGGAGAATAAGCGAAGGAGCTGTTATAGGAGATTCCTGCTTTCTTCTAAAATCAAGTAGGAAAATAATATCTGAAGTCTGAATTATTAGTTTAGGCATCTTCTCAATGTTCTTTCCTGAGGTTTTTATCCATATGATTTGTTTAATGCCCAGATCAAGTCAATGTTTAAAAAAAAAAAAAAAAAAAAAAGTGGTTTTACTTTTAAAATATCACAAAAGAAAACTGGAGAGAGAAATGTCAGCTGCTGTATTTGCTTTAAATCTAAAGCCGAATGAAAAAAAAAAATGTTTTATATATACTTGTAGCATTACCTCTCAAGAAGATCTCAGTACTCCTCCTGAAAATGAATGTCTTCTTTCTTTTTCAGCAGAAGGCTTGTGCCAGTTAGCATTCAGGATCAGCATCTACTGACTACTAAGATGCTGGCCTAGGGATCATGCAGTCAGACTTGTGTATAGATTATAGTTCCTACAGCAAAATTTCACTGTGGAACATGCTAGAAAAATGTTGCCATGATTTTGGGAGAGGAGACTGAAGAAATGATTCCTTCTGCTGTCAGCAGACTCTGATATTGAGACCCTGCCTAAGCAGTCTGTTGAAAGAAGTCCTATGTTTTTCTGAATTAAAGTACAGCTTTTTTCAATTATATTTCCTATTATAGCATACAAGGAATTTTTTAATGGAGAGTTGTGAAGTTATTGAAAGGTTCACTTTTGCATATGTTTCTGCTTTAGTATTGATACATTTAATGTTTGTTTATTTTGCCAATTATGAGTTGTTGCTGTAGTCCTTTGGCATAAAGGGAATCTGTCAGAATAAAAATATGGGAGCTGCTTTCACTGAATTGGTTTTGTAGATGTAGGGTTTAGGATACTACTTTACTACTTGATGAGTAATGTGTATGGAACAAGCATACGATGCTCAGATTAGTTAGGGAAGGACAAGGTTTTCAGCTTTGAATGTGACACCTTCTTAGGAATGGCAGTACTTCTGATTCTTTTCTGGCATGCTACTTGTATAATCCTGTACTTAGAGTGCCATTTTGATTACTTTCTATTGATACCTAGGTTAATCAATTAATAGTTCACTCAGAAAGCAATACAGGTTATTTGCTTAATAGAGTTAAAGTAAAACCCCAGGAAAGAATTCCAATCTGAAGATCTTAAATTTGTCCTTCCTTCTCATATCTGCAAGCATCTTCTGTGCACTCCCTTCAGCCAACCCCCCATTCTCTTCCCCTGTAATTATGGCAATGCCAATTACTTATCTGAGTGACTATAGGTCAAAAATGCCGGCTGGTGTTTTGCTTCCTAAGTCACATCACCTCGCCTCGCAAAGCTGATTGGACAAGAAAGGTGCAGCAGCTTTTAGGTCATCCTTGTGCTCTCCCATCTGTATCATGTTTATTAGACTGACAACATTTTGCAAAGCAAAAGAGCACAGACTGGCTTAATGCTGGCCCCAATGTGAGAATTGCTTCATATGGGGATTACAGCAAACAAACCTAAAGACAGGTTTGGTTATACTAGCCATATTAAAAAAAAAAAAAAAATTTACATGTTTTATTGAACATTTTAACTGGATTCAAGGGTGTTCTCTAAATAGGTACCTACACCCCCGTTGTGACAGCTAGCTCTGCTCGCCCAGCTGCGTCATTCATTCACCTTATTCTGTGAATGAGAAAATACAAGTTCTGAAAGCCGTTGCAGAGTCTTCCTGTGACAGTGACGGGTCTGCAGGAGACTTGCATAGCACCAGCATTCTGATCGCTGGTGCAAAGCTTTAGAGGCTGCAGATTCAAAAGAATAGTAAATACACTTTTTTTTTTTTTTTTTTTTTTTCTGCAAAAAATAATTAGCATTTTATTTTTTGTTAAAAGGTAAATTTAACTGTTAAAGATAAAAACAGTAATCCATAGCAGCAATCATACATTAGTCAAATTACAAGAGACTTTCAAAGCCTGGTTGCTGTAGGAATATTGTTTGCCATGTGATTGCTATGTGTATGGTACTTGATAACTGCATAGCAAAATGGTATTAACATCAAATGTAAAAATCAAATGGTTAAATTAACTTGTGGTGACAATTGCTTATTGAATGGGCATTTGCTTTTTCAGTTGTACTGCCCCTGTGGTTAAAGGTATAGTATTGTCTCAGATGGGCAAGCTCACATGCTGTGCATTTTCTAGTAGAAACACACATTATGTTTACCCCTTGCTGAGCGGCATCAGCTCAACATCAAAACGAATAGAAACTAGTCTCCTCTTCTCACACAAGCAGGGAGGAGAGCAGTCCTTTAAGAAAAAAAAAATGTACATCTCCCATCTGATATTGCCCTAAGTTTTATGTACTTGTTGGTGAGTTCCAATTTTCCCAATCTGGTAAGCAGCATTAGCAGTTGTTTGTTCAGTAAAATCTTTAACCTCTGTGTTCTGGAACGGTTTGCATTATTCAGTCTCTGCATAACAGCGCTGCATCTTTAATCCTGGTATTCTAAGGTTACATAATTAAAAAAACAAAAAAAAAAACACATTTTAACCCCTATTTGCCAATAATTTGCATGGCATTGTAAAAGGATAAAAAGAAAAATGACACCCCTCCATCTATTTGTAAAGTAGCTTGTACCCAGACCAGGTGTGCGCTCTGTATAGTCCTGTAGAAATGCTAAAACACCTCCCTTATATACTTTTTATATTTTTTTTTTTGTTTCTTATGGTTTGTTTTTTTTGTCTGATCACTGACTGTGTTTGATATTCTGTGTGGAGGGTGTGACTGTGCCTTTTTCAATAAATCGTTTTCAATGCCTGCTCTGAACATATGCCTCTTATTGTCTGCTTAGATCAGGGGCCTTCAAACTTTCTAGACAAAGGGCCATTTTATGGTCCTTCAGATTTTGGGGGCCAGACTTTTAACACTGGCGTTTGACGCCCACTGGACAAAAACAGTGTCTTGGGCTGGCCATACATTATATAATATTTTCTTTAAATTTTCAATTTGTGTAACCTCCTTCTAGATTTACCTTCAACTATGTAGTACAAGGGTCTCCCTAATTGGATACAAATTGAAAGTATTGTTTAGGCTTGATCTCATATTATACTATGTTTCATGGTAAATCCTATAGGAAAATTGTACAAGAAAATGGTATGGTCAGCTTTTAGACTTAGTGGTCAGTGGAGGTAAATTATAGTGCCCGAGGTCAGTAGCAGGAGGAATAGTGTCCCCATCATTGGTATTAGTGGGAGGAATAATGTCCCATCATTTGTGTCAGAGGGAGGAACAGTGCCCTATTGTTGGTATTGGTAGAAGAAATAATGCCCCATCAGTGTAAATGGGAGGAATAGTGCTCCGCTGTTGGTTTAAGTGGAAAAAATGGTGCCTCATATCAGTGGTAGGAACACAAAGGGCCGTAGTTTGGAAAGCATTGGCTCAGATGATGGATATGGAGCAGTCAGGGCATACAAATTTGGCTAGCTCTCTCGTCTTTAAAATTGATGTGGACTTTTTGCCATGAGATTTCCTGCAAGCAGTTTGGTAATGGCTTCCTTATGTGTCCCTTTTAACTTTTGCGGTTGAAGATTAAAGGAAAAGTTCATCTTAAGACATAGCACCCACAATCAGTTGATAGCAGGTGCAATGCCAGGATCCTGCAGACTCTTTTCAGCTGTCTTCCCATACCTCACGTATGGGTAGGCGATGCTGGACAGCAGGCAGAATGAATGTGAACTACAAGAGTGCTCAACAGCATCCTCATAGTTAATTTAGAACAACAAGTTGTCTGTCGCACTGGCTGACAATTCTTGTAGTTCGTTAAGTCACAGATCTTTCAGCACTATTTTTTTTTTTTTTTTTTTTTTTTTAACTGGTGACAGTGATTGCGGGGAGAAGATCCCCCACCCACTGTCTGGGGTGGGACAGATTGGGGAGTGTGGGCAGGAGCGATATTGTGACAGGTTACATTTTTACACCCGTATTAGGGTGTAACTTGTTACAAAGTAGAACTTGATTTTAGAAAC